GTTACAAATAGTTCTTCCAAATACAGGAGAAAGGCACCAGACACTTATCTCTTTCCACATAACTGCAGATCTAAAGGGAATCACAAAGAAACCGCCAAACAGTCAACTTAAATTGCGATTACAATAAAACTCTAATCTCACAGTAATCGCTCAAAATAATAGATTACAGAGGCTAATCGACAAGTATGATCTCAATATTACAAGTTCATCATGAGAGATGAAGAACACGAATCACTCAAACTCTAATTTATAGAAAAAGGACTCTCAGAAGAACTTAAAAGGAACAAATAACTCAAAAGGCAGAAAGAATGAAAAATATCTTCGACTGTGCAGTATTTATATCACACATCACCAAGACAACAATCCAGGGGCCAGAATTCACCCACGTGTCCCCATTTCATAATAAGTGCACCATTAAGAAAAACACATCCAGCAGAAACACGATTTTAAGCCAATTTTGGGAGCACATCATAGATCACAGGTTCGAGCCTCAACAACCTTAAACAATCTTTACCAGGTTAAGTATCCCAATTGCCATTGAACTTTATAAATGTTATTCAATTGTCATTGAACTTTAAGTTGTTATTGAACTTTTCCAAATGCTCACTTGTTTTCATTGAACTTTAACAGTTTTAGTTTTCATTAAACTTATAATTATGTTATCCCATCCGTCACTTGTCATTTTAAAAGTTAAAAGACTTGATAAATTTACTGAAATATTATAAAATCCGTCATTCCGCCAACCCTGTCATCTATTGCATTAACAGGGTAGCGGATGATATAAGAATTTGATAAGTTTAATGACAAGTCGAAAAACTTTAAAATTCAATAACAACTAGAAACATTTCGGAAATTTCAGTGGCAATTGAGATATTTAACCCCGCGTTCCCAAACAAACAAGAAAAGTATGTTTGGTACATATTTCTGACCAATGTAAGGGTATTTAACATTTTTTCTTTCATTTTTAGCATTGTCCATAACTGTACAAACTAGATAGGGTCTGTCTTGCCAAACCAACAGAAAAGGTACAATGCATACGAATTAATTTAGTAGGAATGGTACAAGGTAACACTTGCATTGGATCTATCCACACTTATTAGTATGGTGGAAAATTACAATGGCATATTCAACTTACCAGCCGTTGTTTCCTATCAATTCCATTAAGGCCGGGTTTTTTTTTTTCGGTGGGGAAGAAACAGGCTGAGGTTGTACCTAATTCTATAGCATAAAACTAGAAGCCAAAATCACATGTAAATAGAGTTGGCCATTCTATGAATTTCTTTGTGATTGAATCTTCGATCCAATGAAACGAAGCTAATTAGCAACGTTTACCCTTCTTGCAGCCAAGCGCACCTGCTCCCATTGTGATTGAACCTATAAGAGAAGATGGTCTTGCACTTAAGCTAGATGCCTTGGCATAATTTGAAGATGCTCCGGCACCAGACAGGGTGAAGAAGGCACCGTTGAGCATTAGGTCGCCTTCGGATCTCCAGTTCCATTTCTTCCACTCGCTCTCTGGTGCGTCCTCGTGTTTTGTAACCTTAAACCATACAATAATACCTCATCAGCTAGTGTATACTTCAATTTTTCTTCTACGAATCGAAGCAACCAAGAACTAAATCTTAGTAGATTGTGGCAATAAGGACACTCTTACCACTTACCCTTCTGCATTGCTTGTATCAGCTAGTGTGTACTCGTTAACAGATTGTTGGACACTACAAGATTAGACTTTAACAAAGTTTAATGCAACCTATTACTTTAATATCCAGTTTATAGTATCTTTTGATCTTTTTGAGGAAATAAATGCTTGGTACAGTGGACTCAGCTGTATTAAGAAAAAAAAGAAGCTAAAATTTTATCTATTATACAGTTATGTTGAGCACTGGTTACCGAACAAAGATTATAAGTTCTGCTTGATGATGATCCTCACCTCTTTGTTAAATCTATCATTAGGAGCAAGAAATCTGTTGCCTTGGCTGTTGATTGTAGGATCTGCACTACCCCCAATTGCATACATTTCCCAGTGAGTAAAGTCATTGTTCACCACATGAAAATACCCATGTCTACACCTGCAACAAGCACCATGTTAAAACACTGCGTGGTGTTTGGTATGCAGTATTAGAATATACTAGACAATACGAATAAACATGAGATTATTACAAACTTTCAAATTTATGTACCTTGGCATTCTCTGCACAAGCCCTTCACCGAAATGGTTGAATGCAATGGTGACTTGCATGTTCTTGTCACGCTTATAAGTATCGCTATGTCCCAAGAGCATGACCTTATTATGATGTGTCAAGTAGTTATTCGATATCGTGATTTCAGTCGATCCATGGATGGCATCGATTAGTCCATCACGACAATTAGATAACGAACAGTGATCGACCCAAACATGGCTGCCACCAAATATCGACACCCCATCACCATCGGATAAAGTTCTCCATCCATAGTGCTCTGGTGAGTCCCTCACATATGCATTCCCTTTCTGCTTACAGTCATGTATATTTAGGCCATGGATTATGATATTTGTCACATATTGTACAGTAATACATGCCCCTCCTGCAATATGTACACTTGCACCTCTACCATCAATGGTCTTGAATGAGTTCATCATCAGCTCTTGCTTAAGCTTAATCACCATATCGTTGGCGAAAATAATCCATAACGGTTCATTTTGGATCACCCCATATCTCAAAGTGCCCAGTTTTGGATTCACAGCATCATCTCCAGAGTCCGTCACAACATATATTTTACCGTCTCTCCCACCAATGGCGTGTTTCCCAAACCCAATTGCGCAATCGGCTAAATGCTGCCGGTTTTTCTCCCAATTGGGATCACATCTCCAACAATCATCAATTGGATTGCCAGTGGCACAAGACATGAATGCCAAATTCCTTCTTGATGCATTTAGTTTTCTGTTAAAAAAAAACATATTGTCTATTGTTAGAGTAATGTATGGACTTTATGCATGTTTGGCATGAATGATTGAATCACACTGGACAATATTAAGAAAGAAAATGAAGCTAAAATTTTGTTCATCATAGAGTCCAATCTGAAGCGATTCAGGTTTGAACTGAAGTTTCTTACTCGTTAACTTCTTGGACTACTGATTCAGGATCTTGGACTGGTGAACAGAATGTGAAGCTTGATGCTAATAGAGGAAGAAGTATTAAAAGGTAAAGTGGGACTTTCATATTCAGTTCCTTATTTTATATTTTGTAAAAGAAGAGGAGAAAAAAGCACGGGAAAATACAGAGAGTATGTTATTCATTGAGATTTATATAGAGAGGAGAAATATACTGAATGAAGCATTTGGGTCCACTTTCTTTATGATTTCGAGTTCTGCACCTTTCCGTTTGAGGATATTAGAGCATTGATCTTTTTAGAGCTGTTAAAAGGGGAAAACTTTAAATATTGGACATTTTTAAGTTAGTATGAAGTATTTATTAGATTGCCTGTGAGGGCTTAAACATTAGGAGCGCGTTTGGCCCCGCTTTTTTGTAGTTGCTTTTCGGCTCTTTTCAATAGTGAGCAGCTTAAAAATGGGGTCAATATCTGAGTTCAGTAAGATTTAAAGCTTGTTTATCACACTTTTTTTCAAGTGAAAATGATTTTTTTGGAGATTATATGGTTTAAAAGGGAAAATTGTGGGTTATGTAGAGTGTGGGATTAAAAAGATTTTGGAGAAAAATGATTTTAAAAAAACTATGTCAAAAAACATTAAATATGACACGATTAAGAGTATTTTGTAGTATTTTAGAGGGGACTGGGGACATAACCGGTAAAGAGGGAGAATGAAGGCGGTTTTTAATTTAGACTTTAACAAATAGCGAATTTAGTAAGTAACAATTATAATATGCCATGCAATAATGTTTGTTTGCCGACATTCAACGAAATCTATAGGAAGATTTATGGTACAATTTCAAAGGAATCGACAATGTCAAAATTACGAAGATGTACTAAACTCGCAACCTGGGTAACACGACAAAATTACAAAGAAGTACTAGACTCTCACAAGACATAGGTAGGGTCACACCGACAGTTAATTTTGTGTTTGTTAGCATGTGAAAAGTTGAGGCATAAGAGCATTCCTTGTAGCCATTGCAATAAATTATTATTGTTGTTGGGTTGATTAATTTGTAGACATTGAACTTTAATTTGTTTGTGATTCATTACAGAACTCAACAAAAATTTTATTCAATTTGACGTCCATTTTTTATTATTATTGAAAACCGTGCTAAATAATCTAATCGATAAATTTTCAATTAAATATGGATGTTAGATTGATCCGGTGGTTTGAATTTAACATTTTGTAAAGTCCAGTAGTGAGGGCGACAAAAATTAAATTTTAGTAGCCAAAGTGACGCTAGAATAAACTTGGTGATCATTGGTGGAATTGACCCTTATTATAGTTCTGATATATATCTTTATATCTTTCAAAATAGACTTTAAATGATATTACTTTCTACTCATTCTAATATTTCAAAAATCATGCTAAATATTCTTTACGCCCAAACCTGACAAAATGTTCCCCCAAAACTCCACCAACACGTAGATCTTTATGCCTTTCATGTCAGTCGATTATCCAAAAAGGACTATCGCTACTTTATGACCGTTATAATTACGGCCGTCGTTCACTGATGCTTCGATCATTGGTTCCCCTGTTATTAGGTCACCAATTTTCTTGACCTTCTAGGCCCGTTGTAAAGGCAATGCAATGGCAAGCTCCATGTGTGGTGGCGTTAGAGTTGTTGCTGAGATGTTCATGGAAAATATGATGGTAAGAGTAAACAGTAGAAATGAGTAACAAAATTTAGTGTTCAACCAGTAAATTGAACTTTTTCATTAATAAATAGAAGCTCTTTTTTTTTTGTGGGGGAAGGGGGGTGGGGTGGGGGGGGGGGGACA